CCGGGGGGGCGGGCCGGGCCCCGCGGAGAGGAACCGGGCGCGGCGGGACGCTGAGACTCGCCGTCCCGCAAGGGCCATGCAGCTCCTGCCGCTGCTCGCCTGGGCGCTGCTGCCAGGTAAGGCCCGGCCGCAGCCCCCCCAGCCCTCGAGTGTCCCGGGGGGGCGGCCCCGACGGGCGGGGAGGGCTCGGCGGTGGCGGCGGCGGCGGCGGCGGCAGCACTCCCGTGTCTGCCTGTGTCTCCGCAGGCTGCCGGGCGTGGGTGAGCGGTCCCAGCACCGTGTGGGGAGTCCTGGGGGGGTCCGTCTCGGTGAACTGCACGTACGAGCTCGGCGATGAGATGGAGCCGAAATTCTGGTGCTATCCGGGAACAGTTTTCACTTGTGCTGGTGGTGATTATACCATCATCACCTCGGAGGACAAGCCCATGGTGCGGCAGGGCCGACTCTCCATCCAGGACAATCGTGCACAGCGGGTGTTCACGGTGACCATGGAGGATCTGAGGAAGAAGGATGCGGGCACCTACGTCTGCGGGGTGCGAACGGGCTCATTCCAGTCTGATAAGAGTCACAGTGTGAAGGTGTTTGTGTCCCCAGGTCAGTACTTGTGGGTCCCCCAGGTCCAGCACTGGTGTCTCACGGGCCAAGTGCTGGGAGCCGGGGCTGCAGTGAGGAGCAGCCCGGAGGAGGTGGGTGCCCAGGCCCCGTGCGGCAGCCCCAGGCTGTGTTGTCAGGGCTCGACCAGTTGATGCCACAGCAGGTACCACCTTCCCCCATTCCTCATGCCCAGGTCTCACCACAGCCCCTCCTGGGCGCCCCAGGCTGAGGCACTCCCATCGCTGCTGTGCAGCACCCTGCTCTGAAGGGATCCTGCTGGCCCTGTCTGTGATCTCCCTGCCTTTTCTCATAACACCAGTGGTTCCTCACCCCCTCGTGCCACTCCATTTACTGCTGTGGGCAGCCCCTCTGCTGGCCCTGTCTGTGCTCTCGCTGCCTTTTCTCATAACACCAGTGGTTCGTGGGCAGCCACTGCCCGTGGGCACCAGGCCCTGGGCTTAGGGAATGTCCCTCTCCTTCCCCTCGCCAGGGACCAGCCCCTGGAGGGGGACACTTGGATGGGGCTGTTGGGTTAGTCCCAGGCTGGGCACGGGGTGCCAAGTCCCCTTCCTGCCCCGAGGGAGTTCTGCTGAAGACACACATGGGGGCGTGCATTTTGGGGGGAGACTGGGGCCACAGAAAGCCTCCTGGGGGGGATTAGAGCCCTCCCAGGTCGGGGAGCACGCTCTGGATGTGGCAGAGGGGACCCGGCATCTCCTGGTGTGACAGTAAGTGGGGTCACTTCTGGGGAATTGCAAAACCCACAGCGTCTTCCCCCGTGGGGGCAGGGAGACCGACTGACCTCTCCTCTGCTTGTGACACCCCCTCTTCTTCCTCCTCAGCATCGCCCTATTCCCCGACCACCAGCCCCCCCGATCTCAGGAGCTCTGTATCAGCCCCCACACAGACGACTCCCCAGGATAAAGCTGTGCATCCAGCATCGACTTCCTCCCTCCCCCACGGCTCCAGTCATCCCCAGTGAGTACCAGCTCTTGCCCACAGCAGCTACCTCTCTCCTTGGGTCCTCATGGTGCTGCTGGAGCCCTGCAGCCCTCCATGCTCTTCACTTCTTAAGAATTCAGACCTCCTCCTTTTGCCTTTTGAGACCAATATTTCATCCTCTCACTGAGCCACCCCACATGGATAATAATCCCAGCACCCCTGGGTGCTTGGCCCTGGCAAAGCCTTGCTTGTCCACTCTCTGTCTTGCAGCACAAACAAGGCATAGGTCATCACCGTGTGGGAAATGATTTCTGGCTGCAGTGCTGACCCCGTTTCCTTCCCCAAAACTCGGAGGGCCCGTTTGCTTGTAGGAAACCAAGTGCTGGGCTGGGTCCCGTTCCTCTTTGTAGTCACACGCAACCCAGCAGAGATCGTTGGTGAAGCATGAGACCGCAGTGGCAGAGCTTCCTCCCTCCTCTCCTGCCTCTTGGAGGTGATGCAGGGAGCGGGCAAAGCTGCAGCTCCTCGTCAGCACGCCCAAGGGGCAGGTGGCACATCAACCTTTGCCTGGTTGCCCACTAAAAAAAGGCCAACAAATAGTAGAGCTAAGCCAGAGTTAAAATTAACTGCAGGCAATGATGCTGAAAAGAGTGAAGATGCAGCAGCTCTCAGACCCGAGTGTCTTCTACTCGGGTAGAGTAGAAGACTGAAAACCCGAAAGTTTTCAGTTTGCTTTGCTCCATCCCCAGCTTGCAGCCTGGCCACCCCCCATCTGCTTCCCTTCCTCCCGGGGAAAGCCCCGTCACCCTCAGCCTCTCCCTGCTCCGTGCCGGTTCCTCCCCAGTCCGCAACCCAGGAGAAGGGTGAGAACAGAAACATTATTTTTTTCCTTGCAGCTTCAACGTGGTTGAGCACATGCTCGTTCCAACCATTGTAGTGGTTCTTCTTTTGCTTGCGGTTGCTGCTGGATTTTTGGTGATGCTGTCCAGGAAGAGGAAAAAGGGTGAGCAAAGCTGTCACTGCCACAGACACCCTGTTTCTGTACCAGCCTGGCTTCTGCTAGAGCTGGGTTTTTCTCTATATTTCTTTTTTTTCTTCCCCATTCCCTCCTTGATGCACCCAGTCGCTGGGTCCGTCACTGAGACCTCCACCGAGGAGGTCTCCGTCCCCCAAGGGAGCGGTGGGACTGGCCCATGGGTCTCATCACCTCTCACTTAAATTTGTCTGGGCACTGCTGTCTTCTCCAAAGGCACTCAGTTGTGTTAGGATTGATGCAAAGTTTATGGCCAGTGTGAAGGACAGGGAGGGATGGGAGGGGACATCACCAGCTGGCAGGTGGGGTCTGGTTTTATTTGAAGAACTGCTCCACTTTAGATGGTTGCATCAGGTTCCCTTCCTGCTTTACAGCAACATTTGGAGCAGCAGCAGTTTTGTAATACGTTTCTTTTGGTTTCACTCGTGTCTGACCATGTCTGTGCTTCATCCAGCCTTCTCCAGTGCAGCTGTAGAGATGGACGGGATACCCAACGCGTCACATACAGTAAGGAAAGCCACAGGAGGTCTTGGAATGGTGGGGTTCGAGCTCGCCTGGGGAGGGGAAACGTTTTGCCCTGAGCTGAGCAAACAAGCTGCCTGGTCTCATTGCTTTCAGCCAGGTTGATGGTTCTTTAGGCTGGATGGGATCTTTTGGGCTCCATTTGCCAACAGAAAGACCCGACCAGGGATTTTGTGTGATTAACACAGAGAATTCCTGGGAAGGGTATTTAGGATTGGGCTGAGAAGCTCCTCCCCGAGCCCCTCCAAGCAGGGGAGCTGCTTCTCTGGGTCAAACAGCCTTGGGAACCCGGAGCAAAGCACACCTGAGGAGGCCACGAGGCAGCTGATCTTCAGTCACTGCTTGGGAAGTATTTTCTCATATTTTCTGCCAGCTTTCAAGCAGGGGCAGGTGCCACTAACCAGACTAACCTGGGAAATATTGAGCTAGCCCTTACTGGGAGTTAAATCTTCCCCCAGTGCTCCTGCAAGCTGTCTCGGCTGTCAGCAGGAAAGGCAGCGGGATGGGAGATGTCCCCATCCTTGGTGGGCTGCAGGCAGGGGAGCAGGGCTAGGTCAAGAGCTCATCCCTCTCCTTCTCCTGTCAGGGAGCGGGCACCTTGAACTACGTGGACATTAACCACCAGGCGGGCACGGCCGAGAGCCAGTTGTACAGCAACGCCGAGGCGTTCCGCTCCTCCGCAAACACTGCCACCGAATACATGGAGGTCAAGCAGAACCATGAGGTAGGAGAACACAAAGGAGAAGACAAAGCAGCGCCGAGCTGGAGGTGGAGGGTGGAAGGCTGGGGCAGGTGGGCCACAGCGTGGGTGGCAGGATGGGTTGGGTGGGTACAGAGGGACATGCCACCCTAGGGTGCAAATGATCCTGGATAACATGGGTGCCCTCTCCGGTCCCCATGGTTGCTCCTGGGTGCTTAAAGCAGCCGAGAGGTCCCTGCAGATGGTCAGGAGAAAATCTGCAAAGGATGTTTTTTGTTCACCCCCCTCCTTTCCCAGCGTTTGGAAGAGGAAAAAGAAGCTATATACAGCAAAGTGCAGAAATCCAAGCCCGAAGAGCAGGAGATCTACGTCAACGTGTCATCAGCCCCACTGCCCAAAGAAGAGCTCTACAGCACAGTGCAGAGGGAGTGAGCCAGCAGCTTGCCCCGTGGGCTGCTCCTGTGGCCACCAGTGCCAGTGGGACACGCTCGGAGGGTCAGGCTGGCTTCCTGCTCGGGTAGGAGCTGGCTGGACAGTGGAGCTGCTGCTCTCGTAGGCTTGGACATTTCCTTGGGGCAACCTCAAAGAGCATGAGGTTGAGCAGAAGGCATGGATGAAAAGGATGAAGGATGAGGATGAAATAACCCCCCCTTCATTTGGAGACCTCTCCTGTACAGAAATGGTGCTGGGAATAAAAAAAATGCCCCTTGCAATGGGGTAGCCCAGGCCAGAGACCGGCCAGGCAGGGTGTGGAAGAGCCCGGCAGTGGGTGGGCTGCCTGGATCCATGCACCCGGTGCCCACCTCACTTGGCCCTTTTGGCTGGGTTATTCAGGTGGGCCTGAGCTCCCAAACCTGCTGGTCTCCTCAGACTGACTTTTTTCATGCCGAGCTGGGAAGCAGGACAGTGAGAAATGTTATATCCGAATGGATGTGTGGTATCCAAATCCTGCCTCCCCATGCAAATAGGGTCTCGGTGCAAACGGGATGGCAGAGCTGCTCCTGTCCCTCCTGCATGGCTGCTGGGAAGGGACCCAGCAACCCCCTGGGTTGAGAGAGACCCCCAAACCCCCTGGTCCCACAGCCCCCAGAGAGGTTGGTCCTGCTCTCTCTCCCCTCCACCACCCCCAAGGACCCCCCAGCCGGGAGCACAGGGACAGGCTGTGACCGTGACCCTGCTCTTCTCTGCTTTGCTGATAATTTATTTCCTGGCTAAATATATTCAGTGTAAAGTATCGCTCCTTTATCAGTGACGGCAGCTGAGAAGCTGAGAGGATCTGAGAATCTGATAGGATCTAGCGTCGCCGTATTTGGCTGTATTTGTACAGCATTTTTTCAACTCACTACAGAGGTTTTTGCAGAGTGTGACCCCAAAAGCGTGTCTGGCCAGGAGGACTCCAGCAGCGTGGGAACCCAGATCTTTAAGGGGAAGGACTCTGCTGCTCCACCACGGACCAGTTGGTCCTTCCTCTTTCCCAGCCCCACCACCCGAGTGTATTTCAAGGCTTCATTTCGAGAGAATTCCTTAGCTTGGTTAACCGCTGCGAAGTTTCGTTTCAGTATTTTTGTAATTATTTTATTCGAGAAACCACGTGGAACATCCCTGCTCAGTCAGAACCAAAAGCAGCTGGAAGTAAACGTCCGTGGTACAAGTTGTGGTTATTCCTATAGGTTATTCCTTTATAAAGTTATATTTCTATATAAGCAAAATTCTTCCTGTGTTCAATCTGGAGCTGAGCAGACACGGGGAACAAACAGCAGTGACACAGAAAAGCGTCGTTGCAATTTGTAGTGAAAACGAGCATCCAGCCAGATTCCAGCCATTGCTGGGGAAAAAAAAAAAAAAAAAAGGGAAAGCGAACCCCTCTGCACCCACGCGGACAAACTTCTTCTGCCACAAATTTCATGTGGAACTGGTGGAAAGAAAAGAAAATCGCATCTTGCTCCTCCTGCCCCTCCATTTATTACTGGAGATAATAACACCCCTTCTCTGAAGGAGTTGGGAGGAGGAATCAGTTGGCTATTTTAAGGTAACCAGGTCCCATTATGCCATATCTGGAGGTAGTTTTCATGCTTTTTAAAAAAAAAAAAAAAAGAAAAAAAAAAAGAACTAAATGGCTTTCTTAAATTAAAGCCCTCACCACAGCACGAAGGCAGAAATAGCTGCCGGCTGCATGATAGGGAAGTGTGGGGAGGAGGAGGGTGCGGGGTCCTCAGGGTGTGCAAAGGTGGGGTGTTCAGCAGCACTTCCAGCAAGGAAGTCTGAAGACTTTCAAGCTTTCTCGGGGAATTTTAAGAGAGAGTAAGAAATTTGCCTTTTCTCCAGCATTAGTGGCATCTCAGGGCAGCTGCTTGGACAACCACAGGACTCCAGGTGGGGTCTCAGGAGAGCAGAGCAGAGGGGTAGAAGCACCTCTTGTGAGGTGGCCACGTTTCTCTTGATGCAGCCCAGGATGTGGTTGGCTTTCTGGGCTGCCATCCCACACTGCCAGCTCACGTGGAGCTTCTCAAGCTGGAAACATCCCTGGAAACATCCCAGGCCAGGTTGGATGGGGCTCTGAACCACCTGGTCTGGTTGAAGATGTCCCTGCCCGTGGCAGGGGGGTTGGACTTTGTGGTCTTGAAAGGTCCTTTCCCACCCAAATCGTTCTGTGATTTGATGAGTGTTGGAGCAAGAGCAGCCCCAAGGGCAGGAAACACCTGGGTGAAGGAATGGGCACGGCCGGGGCTGCACAACCCCATCCTGCTGCCAGGCTTGATTTAAGAAAAAAAAACCCAGCCTGTTCCTCTTTCTGCTGCCATAAAACCTGGAAAGGTTCAAAACCTCCCTCAGGCCACCCACGCAGCCAGAAGAGCTCTGGGTGAGCTCCTGGGGTGGCTGCAAGCAGCAGAAGTGCCCAAGGATGGGACCCTGGAGCTGTGCTGGTGGCAGACCCTGGTCACAGGAGACATGGCTTCACCAGCAGACCCCTACCTTACCCCCTGGAGAAGCTGCTGGAGATGGGGGGAAATATTTCAGCCGGGAAATACTGGAATACTGTGTCCAGTTCTGGGCCCCTCAGTTCAGGAAGGAGAGGGAACTGCTGGAGAGGGGACAGCAGAGGGCTACAAAGATGACTAAGGGCCTGGAGCATCTCTCTTATGAAGAGAGGCTGAGGGACTTGGGTCTTTTTAGTCTGGAGAAGAGAAGGCTGAGGGGGGATCTGATCAATGCTTATAAATACTTAAAGGGAGGGAGTCAGGAGGATGGGGCTGGTCTTTTCTCAATGGTGCCCAGGGACAGGACAAGAGGAAATGGGCACAAACTTGAGTATAAGAAGTTCCACCTAGACATGAGGAGGAACTTCTTTCCTGTGAGAGTGGTAGAGCACTGGAACAGCTGCCCAGAGAGGTGGTGGAGTCTCCTTCTCTGAAGACATTCAAAACCTGCCTGGACAAGATCCTGTGCAATCTGCTCTAGGTAGACCCACTCTGGTGGGGGGGTTGGACTTGATGATCTCCAGAGGTCCCCTCCAACCCCATGTGATTCTATGATTCTATGAAATGGGAAGCAGTGTCTGGGTGGTGATAGCAGCTCCGGGAGCTCCACAAACTTCCTGAGGGCTTCCTGGGCAGATTCTGCAGATAGAGAGGAGGGAAAGCTGCAGCCTCAACTGCCCCGGGGCGGGGAGGGAGTTGAAGGGGAAGAGGTTGAGATAAGAGGGGTTCCCCTGGCTGCAGGAAGGCTCTACAGCTTGTCAGAGCTCCAAGGGGATTTCCTTAGAGCCCTATCCCTGGAGGGGTTCAAGGTCAGGTTGGACGGGGCTTTGAGCAACCTGGTCTGATGGGAGGTTTCCCTGCCCAGGGCAGCGGGTTGGAATGAGATGATTGGTGAGATCTCCCAGGGCTGCACCCTCAGGAGCTTTTGACCAACGCGTAGGGTGGGGGTCAAGCCAGAAAACACATGGCTTGTCAGTAAAAAGGGCAAAAATACCTCATCCTCCCTTCTCCACGGGAAAAGTCTTGTTCTTCCCTGTGTTATTCCCCTGTTCCAGCTTTTCACCTTGCAATGCACAAGAGACACATCATGGTTTAATGGTGTTTCGGGGCTGGTTATCCAAAAAAAAGACTGAGGTGCTCCCACAGCCAGTCACTGGGCAGTCTCCTGGGTAGCAACAGCAGTTTGGGAAGCTGTTGCCCAGCCCTGGGGGTGCAAGAGCTGTGCTCCCCCAGGTCAGCTTCTTCCTGAGGGTACCTGCCCCACCACATGTCCCTGGGGAAGGGACAACTGGGAACCTTGAGCCTTCTGATGGAGAGGAGCGAAACACTCCAAGGAAAGATGCAGGTTCTCCCCAAATCCTGTCCCCCTTCCCGGACAGGCAGGAGCAGAAAGCTGGGTGCACCCCTAGTTCATGATGGAGGGGGGGTAAAGAGTGTGGCTTCACCCAGCAACCCCCCCAGAACGCCCCCCTGCCCTGCATTATACCTGCTGCTCACAAAACACTCAAGTTCCTACCAGATCGTGACCAAAACCACCTGCGTGGGACCGTGGGCAGGGAAGAGCTGGGGTTTTCTGCTCTCAGGTTTCTTTCCATCGGGAGACCTTATGGCCCCTTCCAGTGTGTGAAGGAGCTCCAGGAGGGATGGGGAGGGACTCTTGGTCAGGGAGTGCAGTGACAGGACAAGGGGTTTTAAACCACAGTTACACGTAATTACACACACAGTTACACGCACATTTACATGCAGGTACACACACACAGTTACACGCACACAGTTACATGCAATTACGCACGCAATTACGCACACAATTACACGCACACACAGTTACAGGCACACAGTTTACACACAGACACACAGTTACACACACACAGTTACCCATAGTTACACACACAGTTACACACAGTTACATGCAATTATGCACACAATTACATGCACACACAGTTACACACGCACAGTTTACACACACAGCTACCCATAGTTACACACACAGTTACACACAGTTACATGCAATTATGCACACAATTACATGCACACACAGTTACACACGCACAGTTTACACACACAGCTACCCATAGTTACACACACAGTTACACACAGTTACATGCAATTATGCACACAATTACATGCACACACAGTTACACACGCACAGTTTACACACACAGCTACCCATAGTTACACACACAGTTACACACAGTTACATGCAATTATGCACACAATTACATGCACACACAGTTACACACGCACAGTTTACACACACAGCTACCCATAGTTACACACACAGTTACACACATACAGTTACGCACACACAGTTACACACACACAGTTTACACACACACAGTTTACACACACACAGTTACACAGTTACACACACACACAGTTACCCATAGTTACACACACAGTTACACACATACAGTTATGCACACACATTTACACACACACAGTTACACAGACACACAGTTACACACGCACGCACAGTTATACACACACAGTTACACAGTTACACACACACAGTTACACACACACAGTTACAGTTACACGCATAGTTACACACACACAGTTACACACACACAGTTACACACACACACAATTACAGTTACACACACAGTTACACACACACAGTTACACACCCCCCCACACCCCCGACC